CACCGTAACCGCAATCCACACCTCCACCACCACCGCGCCCTCACACACGCCCAATCGCAACCGCCACAGCACTCACGGACACATTTCATCGCACCCACCGCAAAAACAGATCTGCATGAACTCAACCATCGCACAACCTCCACCACACCACTTAATTTGAAAAAAAAAAGAGAAAGACGATGGATCTGTGAAGAGAGGCAGAGGCGGCGGATTGATTGGAAATATGACCATGGTTGGCGGTTGAAATGTTAATGGCTTCCGTGACATGGTTGGCTGTTGGATCTGTGAAGTTGCCGGAGGAAAACGATGGCAGCGGTGAGGTAAGATCTCTGTAGCGGCGGCAAAAACTACATCGTAGGACTGTGTGCACTTCTACAGCGACGGCGACTCTTCGATGATAGTGGTAAGATGTCTGTAGTCTTCGGCATAAGTATCCATAGATGGGTGGGTGGGTGGGTGGGAGGGACCAACGGAAGGAGGTCGGAGGTAGAGAGGGAGAGGGCGGGGAGGGGAAAATAGGGGAGGGGAAAATGAATTGGATTTGGATGGGAGGTTAGAATGAATTTTAGGGTTGATTTATTTTAATTGAGATGAAAATAATATAATTAATATTAAATTAAATATTAAAACCTGATTTTTGAAAAGTAAAACTCGTGATATGATTTTTGAAAGTGGAAATCTAAAAGCAAGGTAGGGTGTAATTTCCTCTAAAAAAAAAATCTTAAGCCATTGGACGAGGTGACATGTGGCCTCATCCCCTTTACCGAAACATCTCATCCTAGGCATCAATTTTGACCCAATTAGCCTGTGGTGCATTAAATGCTCCCAAAAAGGGGGTAGCCACCCTATGACCTATGTTGACAAGAAGAGACATTTTATTCATTACAAGGGTCAAATCAACATTCCAACAGAATTTCATAAATTTAGTATCTTCAAATGTGGGTCGTCACTTGTCGTAGTTGAGCATTTGGATTTGACTTCGTTGAACCTCACTACTTTGACAGATGAGCTTCGTTTGTGCCTCAGATTTAGGTTCAGCAGAGGGGCTTTGGTAGGGCCATTCTCATGAAACCGATTTGATAAGAGTGGACCTCGGTGGATTGGATTTAAATAACTTTGGAAGGTCTTACTCCACGTGGGATGCCACATGGCCTCGGCAAGAAGAGTTTCGATGAAATGGCCTCGACAAGAAGAGCTTCGGTGGATCGGCCACATGGGGACGGCAAAGCGTAACAATAGTCCCCTAAGTCCATGTATGGTTATTAATGTCCTACGTAAACTTCTGTCTTGAGAGAAATTTCTTTAAAGCGTGTTCTCCTGTCATGGTTAGGTTTTCGACCAACACAATAGTCTCCCAAGTTTAAGTATAGATATTGATATTATAGTTGGAGTTCGACGTTGAACCTAATTCTTGCATGTTGACTTATCCTTATGTAGTGCCGAACTGCTGAAATTTGTTTGGTGAGCTGAAGCAGGAAATGTAGAATTACTGAGGCTCCTTAATTGAATTAGCTGAAATTTGTTTGGTGAACCGAAGCAGGGAAATGCTGAACTGCCAAGGCTCCTCAATTGAGATAGCTGAAATTTGTTTGATGAGCCAAAGTAGGAAAATGATGAACTGTCGAGGCTCCTTAATTGATATAGCTAAAATTTGTTTGGTGAGCTGAAACAAGGAAATGTTAAACTGCCAAGGCTCCTTAATTGAAATAAAGCATGCTTTTGGTAGTAGTGTCAATGATTTGATATTTTTGTACATTACCAAGAAAAGACTACTGAAGCGTTTTTACTTCCAATACACATACAACCGTTACCTATTGAATGTGCAATGATAGCCACGCTGATGTATTTTGAGTCTGACGTGCCAATGCTCATGCATGAGATACACGCATCAATATAAAGCATTAATAAGGAAAAATGTTTGAATTCAATGCCTTAGATGCAGTTAAAAATAAATGCTTCAGATGAAATAGATCTAGATCCAGTGGCTGAGCTTCGTCTTCTCTTCATATAGAAACCAGAATCGTGCCATTGTGTCAATTTTTACCTCTGCGAAAATTTCCAAATTTATCTAGCACAAATCTTTTCCAGTCACTTCTGTTCTCCGACGACGTCACATTCCTAGAGCTTTTTTTCATTTAGATAATTTCTCTATTTTCCCATCCTTCATTCCATCTTTTTTCAATTACCATGGCTTCTGGGTATAGTGCTAGTAGTGGGAGGGTAACCATTTCTAGGGTTGGGGAGCAGGCCACGTCTGGGAGATCAGACAGGGGCTTTTGGGTTATGAGTGAAGGTCCCATCGATTACGAGACAGGATGAGGGGCTGTAAGATCCCTTCTGCTATGGCCTCTACAAAATTGGTTGAACTTAGGGAGAAAATATAGAATCCTAGATTGCATAGAACTCTTAGAATTCGAAGCCCACGAACGTGCTTGCTATCCGAGGTCGAGATGTGCGGTCGTTAGTGAATTTTTGTTTAGGGCATGTATGCGTCTTCTGTACCCATTTTTTTAGGGTAGTGCTAAGGTCCTATATGTTGGCTTCCACCCAATTATTACCAAATGGGTAGAGCCAATTGGTTGGGGTATACTTCTTTTGGAAGGAGACCTCACTTGGCGATGATATGTCCCTCCACGTCTTCCAAACCCTTTTCCAACCTCGAGTCCTTGGGAAAAGGAAGTCCAAGAGGTGGTATAACATGACTCCTTGGGGAGGCCAATGTCCCTTTTGTAGTAGGTTTGCTATCTTCTATAAAAGGGTAGAAAGAGTCTTGATTCTGGGTCAAGGAAAAGTAGTAGATGGTTGAGGGAGATAAGACCCCTGCTCGTACTATACCGACCCAGTATTCAGAAGCTCTTAATTTTATCCGACGCTCATTGGTTTGCAGTTTCAGGGACTCTCTTTGAACTCTCCCGTGCCGAGTGAGACGTCATCGAAGGCACCTATTGGCGTCCTCAAAGGTCACGCCACTTCGACCGCTTAATTGACCATAGTAAGTTCCTCCTAGACTATAGATTGATGACCTCAAAAGGTAAATACCGAGGTCCCATGTTGATGCACAGTACTTAGTATTGATTTTAACATGGTCTTTACTGTTTGCAAATGATTTTGGTAAGAAGAAGTATCACACCATTGACATGGCTTCTATATTGA